TGGGCTGCTCAGCGGTGCAGGCCCCTGACACAGGCTGTGTTCACACATGAAGTACAGGACAGAGCTATGGTCAGTATAAGAAGAAGAAGCCAAGCAGAAATGGATATTTTTTATTATAGTAAAATATATATAACATAAATTTGTCATTTTAACCATTTTGACTATACGATTCAGTGGCATTAAGTACATTCACAGTCTAGTACAATCATCACCAATATTTATTCCCCAAACTTGCATCATCCCAAACAGAAACTCTGTAATCATTAAGCAATATCTCTTCATTCCCTATTCGCCAAGGCCTTGTTATTTCTAGTCTATTTTCTGTCTTACCTCTTCTGACATTTCTTGATTCTTTGCCTATAGGTCAAATAATGCTCTATCTTGAAGGGACCTGGTAAACCAAGCACCTCTTGGTCCAAAGTAAGCACTTAGGCTAAGAGAGATGAAGTAGCTTGCCCAGATTAATGTGCCTGCTTAATGGCAAAGCAGAGTCTCAAATTCAAGTTTCCTGACCTCCTATTCTTTTCTCCAAAATGCTTGACATCTCTAGAATGAGAGTCACAGAATGAGAATCTGAAGGTGCATTGTCCAAGACAGTAGCCACTAGCCACATGTGGACATTGAGCCCTTGAAATGTGACTTGTTTGAATGGAGATGCATAGTTATTATAAAATACACACCAGGTTTTGAAGTTTTAGCATGAAAAAGTAACAAAATATCTCATGATAATTTTTATATTGGTTACACTTGAAATGATACTTTGTACATATTGGGTTAAACAAGATGTATTCTTAACATTAGTTTTACCTGTTGTTTTTTTAAAGTGATTACTTGAAAACTTAAATAAGTGACTTACATTATATTTCTATTGAACAGCTCTGGTCTGAAGATTCATATTATGGTACCACCTCTCCCTTCAACTCTTTTATGTCCTCTCCAACTTCTACCCCTAATAGATAATCTTTATTTTCCAGAACTATATGTATATCAGGGAAAAAAGGCCAGGAGAATTTGAAGTTGACTGAACTATCAAAAATGGTTTGTCCAATCACATTATTGGTTAAAAAGTAAAACAAATAAAATACTTGTAAAGGCCTTGGATGTTCAGTACAAAATTTCCTTGTGGGAAAAAGAACGCTTAACTAACATTAAGGTTGTTTCCTTTGAAAATAACAGGAAGAAAGCAGAGCAAGCTTAAGAAAGGGCAAGCTCTGTAAGGATAATGGAGTGGTCCAAGGAACCCAAGGACAAGAATGCAGCTGGGCCTCAGAAACAGACTGCAACTGGGCTAGAGCAATGTAGGGGGCTCACTGAGTCTTTTCTCTTCTGTCTCATCTCTGTGATGCACACTGGCTTTTGTGAGTTCCATTCCTCTTGATAATGGTGACAATGATAACAATGGCGAGAAACAACAGAGAGTGAACACTTAGTATATATGCCAGGCACTGTGCAAAGTGCTTTGTATGCATTAGCTCATTGAAACCTCATTAAATCCTCATTTAATGTGTATTTTTTTCCATTTAGCAGATAAAGAAATCAAGGTATGCATAGGTTGAAAAACAAGGCCATATAGCTATTAAGTGGCAAAATCAAGATTAGAATCAATTGATTGGGTAATTAACAATATGTTACATAGCCTTTTATTGTAGGATGGTTGACCACCAAGAGTGTCCAATTCGCATCTCTTAAAATAACAGTATTTACTTCAAAGGATTATGTGAGTATTAAACGAAATGTGTGTTAATCTTAGCAGAGTTCCTGATACATACATAAATACATACATACATACATACATACATACATACATACATACATACATACATACATAATCTCATATGCTCGATGGGTGTCAGCTAGTGGTGTTATTGTTATCTTCTTTGTTCAAGAGAGCAGCTGGACTGAAACTAGAATCTTCAACTTGGCAGAATACGAGTTAAGGATCCAGTTTAGAGCTAATAAACTGTTTCCGGGAGGGAATAATTTTTTGGTTAGAGGTGGCTCTCTGTGAATTAGGGACAGAAATGAGATGTGTTGGGAGGCAGGCTATAATTCAAAGCAGTATATACTATAATCTTTCAAAAGAATGCATAAACATTATTCTGGCACCAAATACCCCCATCTCATTTTATTTACTAAACCACTTTAGCAAGTTAGAAGTAGCACAGAAGGTGAACTTGCATATTCTTTTTTTTTTTTTTTTTGATGGGGACAGGTCACAATTTTATTTATTTATTTTTATTTTTTTGGTGATGTTGGTTAACAAAGTCCAGTAAGTTTCAGGTGTACAATTTATCAGTAAGGCATATATATATATATATATATATATTGCATTCTGTGTTCCCCTCCCTTAGTTAGATTTCTTTGTCACCACATAATTGACCCCTTTTACTCCATCTCCTTCCCTCCTCTCTCCGCCCCTCTACCCTCTAGTAACCACTAGTCTATTGTCCATGTCCATGAGTCTCTGTTTGTTTGTCCTGTTTGTTTGTTTGTTGCTTTTAGGTTTATACCCCATATATAAGTGATATCATGTGGTTTTCAACTTTTTCTGTCTGCTTTATTTTGCTTAGCATGATTATCTCTCTGTCCATCCATGTTGTCGCAAATAGCAGTGTTTCATCCCTTCTTATGGCTGAGTAATATTCTGTTGTATATATGTACTACAGCTTCTTTAGGAATCATCTATCATAGGACACTTCAGTTGCTTCCATGTCCTGGCCACTGTGAATAATTCTGCTATGAACATCGGTGTGCAAATATCTTTTCAGATATGAGTTTTTAAGTCTTTGGGGTAAATACCTAGTAGAAGAATTATATGGCAGATCAATTCTTAGTTTTTTAAGGAGCGTCCATACTGTTTTCCATAGCTACTGTACAAATTTGCAGTGCCACCAGCAGTGTATGAGAGTTCCTTTTTCTCTGCATCCTCGCCGACATTTATTATTTGTCCTGTTGATTATAGTTACTCTAACAGGTGTGAGATGGTATCTCATTGTGGTTTTAACTTCCATTTCCTTAATAACTAGCGATGTTGAGCATCTTTTCATGTTTGTTGGCCATTGTATATGTTCTTGGGAAAAGTGTCTGTTCAGGTCCTCTGTCCATTTTTTGATTGGATTTTTTTTGTTATAAAATTTGCATAGTCTTAGTTCCCAAATGATACTTTTCTTTTATGGGCTATATTGATTAGTAATTTTTAAACTACGTATATCAGAAAAAACAAACTTATAACGGATTAAAGAAAGTGGGGCTTATTTTTCTCATATAACCGGAAGTTTGGAGGCAGGGCTAGCATTTCTGAGACTCTCTTAGCCACTTTCTCAAGGTTGCAAGATGGCTGCCCCCATGCAGCAAATGTTGGAGTGTCTGCTATGAGGACATATAAATATTTGAGTTCACATAAATAACATTTAGTGAACATCAGAAATATGCTCTTTACAGAGCTCTATGTAATCCATTATCTAAAAATGTTATACCATAGATATTAGGAGAATACATTGTGAGGGAAATCACAAATTACTATAGTATGTGAATCCCCTCATAATTCTATCAATTTCATCACAGAGAAAGGTGCATCAAGTTTCTCATGCTCAGAAATCTACTGTGGACTTTACCCTGAATCAGAACCAGAAGTGAAGGCAGTGGCTAATTTCTTAAGAAGAAATATCAACCACATTAAAGCTTACATCACTATGCATTCATATTCCCAGAAGATAGTGTTTCCATATTCCTATAGCAGAAGCAAAAGCAAAGACCACGAGGAACTGGTAAGTACTACTTAATTATTTTTATCATTAGTATTTCAGAGATAAAATAATACTTAGTTTAAGAATCAAAAACTGTGGGAAAAAAATTTCTCCTCTAGAATACAAATGAAAAGATGCTTATATTTTGGTCTAACTCTACTGAGGGTTACCCAGGGTCAGGGTTCACAGAAGGAATGTAAAGAATGTGGCCTTACCCTGAGAACATGAACTTTAGTCCAGCAGATGGGCTAAGGAAAAGTCAGACAAGTTCTTTGAAGGTCAGGAGGGAATTATTCCACCTGGATATACTCCACATACAAGCAAGAACCAGGAAAGAGTCTCTGGAATTATGCAACTTTCTGGTCACTAGCTTTCTACAATAGCTACCACAGATCAAGTCTTAGCACAATACTCATCAATTTGACAGGTGCATCAGGAATTGTTTGCATGATGATCTCCCTAACCCCCAGAGGTCCTATTTAAAGCACTTCCAATTGCAGCATTGAGGCAAGAGCACCCCCCCACCCCACTCACTCCCTTTTTTGAAATATAGTTGACAATACAATAAAAGAAAAAGGAATGATAAAGTGCTATTGACATCGAGGTACAGATACAACTTTAGCCAGACAGTAAAAAATAGGATTTCTACAGGTGGACAGGAAGACATGCCAAGCTGAGAAGATGGTATTTCTCATGAGAAGTATGTCCAGGGGACTGTGAGGGTACAGAGTGAAGAGTGACACTCTCTGAAAGTAGATGAAGTCAGCTTATGAAGATAAGGTCAACTTGTTTGAATGTCAAAATAATTTGCATTTTATTGTATAGACAATGGGCTTCCATCCAAACTTTTATTTTGAACAAAAGAAAGGCACAACATCTTATCCAATGATATTCCTCTGGGTCATTCAAGAGAGTGACAGTGAATACCATTTAACTTCAGAAAGATCTGGGTAAGCTAGAAACAAAAGTAGTAGAATAGGAGACTTAGTTGTTACCCTGCTCCATACCAGGAATAATACCTTTCTTTATTTATGAGTCTTTAGGAGTTATTAGACATTTTACACAAGAATAAAATAGAGTTTGTGAAAAGGATGAGAAGGGAATCAGGCATGCCTTAGGTATAATATTGTTTAGAGATGTTGGATTTAAAGTTTGGTGATAATTTTGTCTAGGAATGAAATAATCCCAAGTTGTTCGCTTTTGAAATAAAATTATACTTCATTTTACAAAATAAATGAATTCCTTAAGAAGGCATGTGAAAGTTATTTTTTTCAAATTAAATAAAAATTTCAATACATTGGAAGAATCTATATTTAAAGACAACCAATTGTGATTTCCATAAAGCAAAAAACATTTTTTAAAGTTAATTTATTCTTCTTGATTTATCTTTTGAATTTAGATTTTTCATATGCATAATTTTTTTCCAACTTTATTGAGAATAATTGACATACACATTGTGTAAGTTTAAGGTATATAGTGTAATGATTTGATACACACATATATTGATATGATTACCACAATAAAGTGAGTTAACACATCCATCACCTCACATAATTATAATTTTTTAAGATCTATTCTTTAATCAGCTCTCAAGTATATAATATTGTTAACTGTAGTCATCATGCTGCACATTAGATCTCCAGAACTTATTCAACTTATAACTGGAAGTTAGTGTCCTTTGATCAATATCTCCCCGCCAGCTCCTGGCGACCACCATTCTACTGTCTGTTTCTTCATATATATAGTCTGAGTCAATTAATATAAGATTTTTTTTAGAAACTTCTACATGTCCTGTTTTAAAGCTGTACATTAACCGAAATTCCACATTCTATTAATTTTAGTCTCTAGTGGCCAGTGAAGCAGTCCATGCTATCGAGAGTATTAGTAAAGATACCAAATATACACATGGAAGTGGTTCAGAAAGTTTATGTAAGTATTTCTTAAGATCTTGGAGAACTGTGATGTACTAAAGAAATCTGTTTTGTTTTTCTGTGTTGATTTCAGTTTTCTAAGTGGAATGTTTAAACAAGGTCACATGAAAACAACTGTATTATAACAATTAGAAATGGAAGCATAATAGCTATGACAGCACTTAAGAATATATTAAAGAAGCCAAAATAATACTTAAGAAATTATGCTTATTTATATAGAGTAAGAATTATAGAATTGGCATCACACTAGTTGAGTGAAGCAGAAAAGGTCGTAAAGGGTCAAAAAAATGTATAAGCTGTACAGCACCACTATGTAAGGTTGTGCAGGTTGGAAACAAATATAGGGAACACCATTTATATTAGTTGCTTCTTAATGACAGTCTGTGCTCAAAGGTATAGCACATTATAGTTGAATATCTTTTGTTTGTATCACAGTGATGAGAACATGCATGTGGCTAACTCTTAACAAATATTTTAAGTTAATTTCTGCCCAAAGATGTTTATTGAGGGATTCCTTTGTGTCTGCAGTGGGATAATAGACAATTGTTTTGCTCTTTTGAAGCTGGAGGGGTAGATGAGAGAAGAGCAACAGAAAATAAACATATAACCAGATATCAGAAAACTATGACCTGTAAGGCCATGGTTTTCCATTTTTTAAAATGGTTGAAAAAAATTAAAAGAATAAAATTTTGTGACACTTGAAAATTATATGAAATTCAAATTTCATTGTCCACAAATAAAGTTTTATTTGAACACAGCCACACCCATTCATTTGTGTATTGTCTATGATAGTTTTCATGACAGTAGAGTTGAGTAGTTGTGACATAGATTATGTGACACACGAAGCCTAAAAGATTTACTATCCGGTCCTTTATAGAAAAAGTTTTCCAAACTCTAATATTTAAACAACTAAATAGCAAAATATAGTATAATTCCATTGATAAGTTAAGAAAATAAAATAGGCTACGGGTTTGAGAATGACTTCTGGAGAGAGGGGCTACATAGCTAAAGTGGTCTTGTAAGGTCTCTCTCTGTAGGTGACATTTCTGGGAGACCTACCTGGTAAGTAGCTGCCAAACAACGAGGAGGGGAGAGGGAATGGCATGTGAAAAGGCTTTGAGACAATATATTCAAAGTCCCAGAGTTTCCTTTAATAGGTATGATCTGCAGGGGTATAAAAACACATTCATATTAATAATCACATTTATATTATATTCAATAAATAGTTTGAGCACCAGATGCCTTATTAGTGGAAAGTCCAGAACCAGAAATTTTCTCTTCCTTCTAAACAATCTCAAATTGTCTCAGAACAAACTGAGGCCAGATTAGTTTACATGGTATCACTGGTTCCTTGGTGTCACTGGTCCACCGCTGCCTTTGTCAACTCAGGTCCTTGCTCTGTCACAGAAAAACCCCACAACTCCCTTTCACAGTTCAGAGCTTTTTTGATTCCTACCCTTTTCTCTACTATTGTTACCCAAAGCATAACCATAGTGTCTGAGAGCTGGAGGAATTTATGGAGCAACTTCCTGTTATGATGAAATGAGTCCATTACCACACCTTCATTCATTCAGGACACACCCATGTGTATGTGTGTGTAAGCATAGGAAAATGTCTAGAAGAACAAATGTTAAATATTGACAATGGTTGTCAGAAATATTTGCTGAATGAATGAATAACTTAACTAATCTACTCTTGATTGATATTTTTTAATATCATAAACAGTGTTTCAGTAAACATCTTTGTATTAATTCAAGTATAGATATTAGAGAGAAGCAAAAATGATCACTTGCGTATTATATGGTTGTTCACCTGGAAAACAGTAGAAAATCAACCAAAAATATTAGTTAGACTTAAAAAGTTGAGTAAGGTGGCTGACTATGAACTAAATATACATCAATCTATAACTTTCTTATATACCAAAAATAATCAGGTAGAAAATTAAACGGAAAAAAAGATCCTACTTCATCCTTGTGTGTATGTGTGTGTATATATATATATATATACACACACATGCACATACATATACATATACATACACATACATGGATTCATTGTTAAATGTGTATATATATATATACACATGTATATACACGAATTTGTATGATCTACATGAAAAACAGAAAATTTTACTTGTGTATATAAAAGAAGACATGAGAAACCTGTCATGTTTTTGAGTGGGAAAGCAATATAAAAAGTGTCAGTTGTTCTAAATTAATTTGTACATTAATCCCAATAAACACTTAAATGATTTTGAATTTCATTTGAAACAATAAATTTGTTAAAAGAGCTTGTAAAATTATGAAAACTAAGACTAATAAGAGAGAATTTGCTCCAACCAGATATTAAAACACATTAGAAACCTGTAGTAATCAAGACAGTGTGGAACTGAGCCTGGAAGAGATAGATCGATATAAGGGAATAGTGAGTACAGAAAGACACTAATAGATAAGGAGATCTAGTGTCTCATCAAGAAGGCATTTCAAACCACTTAAGAATGTTAGGTTACTAAATTAATGGGGCTGGGAAACCTGACAAGTTACTTAGAAAAAATTTAATTGTATTACTAACATGTCTTTCTCCAAAATAAATTCCAGATAGATAAAATATTCTCATATAAAAATCCTGTTATAAACAAAGTGGAAAGCTAAGTAACCAAATAAGAAGAAAAAATTCTCTACATATTACACAGGACTAATATCACTAATGTTACTTTTATATACAATCTATACACTGAATCAACTAGGACAATAAGACAATTGATAAAAAATATGTTAATATGTACAACAAATATACCAAACAAAATGTTTAACTGTGTTAATCAAAGAAACATAGATAATTTAATATTATTTTTCACTCATATAATTGCCAGAAATGCAAAATTCCTATGGATAATGTGTGAGGGGGAAGTCCACATATTCATATCTTGCTAGTGGAGATGTAAATTGGTTCAATTCTTTTGGAAGCTATTTGGCAACATGTAGCATAATTGTAAAAAGTACATACCCTTACATTATCAAATCTATCTCTGGGAAGTTCTGTTCTAAAGAAACAAAGAAGCAATTATGATAAACAAGGATGTTCATTGTAAAGTTGTTTATATTAATTAGAAATGAGAATAAAATCTAGAAGTCTCCAAGTAAATATTTAAATTAACTATATCTAGCTTTACAATGCAATGCTATGAGATTGTTAAATATGATAATGTAGATTTGAGCTCATTAGTACATAAAGCTGCTCACGATAAATAAAGCTTAGAAAAGTTATAAAACAGCATGTTCTTATGTTCTTATTTATGCAGAAAAAATTAACTTAGAAAACTTAGAGAATTAAGTTAAAAATTAATTTTTTTTTGGTTAAAAAGCATGCATTGAATAAATAAAGCACTAAAATGTTAATGGTGACTGTCACTTCTCAGTAAAGTTAGGGGGAATTTTTATTTTCCTCCTTGGCCTGTTTTTCTTCAAACTCTATTTCCTACCAGAAACTTAGATTACTTAATAACCAGAAAAAAAGCAAATAAATTTTCGCTTTTAGGATTACAAAAATCCATTTTGTTAACTTAGCTTGAAACATCTATATTTTTAAAAGTAATATCTCTTTCTTTTTGTAGACCTAGCTCCTGGAGGTTCAGATGACTGGATCTATGATTTGGGCATCAAATATTCCTTTACAATTGAACTTCGTGATAAAGGCAAATACGGATTCTTGTTGCCAAAGCATTTCATCAAACCCACTTGTATAGAAGCTCTGGCCGCTGTTTCTAAAATAGCGTGGCATGTCATCAGGAATGTTTAATGCTCTTAATTTTTTTTTTTCGCTCTGCTCTCATATTTTAATTTACTAATTCCAACAAGAGCAAATTATTGTACCAGTTTCTTTCTAAGTTTTATCAATAGTTTTGTTAAAAGGTTTTCTCTTCCTTGGTATTGTCAAAGAACAAAATAAATATTACCCTAAAATTAAGGCAGACGAGGATTCACATTTATTTTCTCTTTTTTCTGTAATTTGTAAGAATCTAGGTAATGATTTTTTCTTTGATTTACTATGGTTGACTAGCCATCTCAAGTAATTTTAACAACTGGTTTCATGCAAATGATTGGAACACAAACAACAAAAAGAAAGGCTATTAGAAGCTCATTAAAGATTTCCTTTCCAAATTTCAACAAATTTCTGCTTGCACCTTTAAAAACAAAACTTTGCAGTCCGTTCGCTCCACAGGAATAGACAATGGCCTAGAAAGCTGAAGGGTGTCAAAAACACGACAAGCACCGCCTGTCGTTCCAGGTTAGTGCTCATTAAACATTGTTGAGAGAATAATGCATGGCTGTACTTACTTTCGACAAAACCTGGGGCACTTAACGCATTTATAACAACCGTTTATTGTAAGAAATTATGTAATAAAAGAAGGAAACTTTTTCTCTTAAATTTACTTTTAATTGGGCACTTTAGCTCTTCCTAGTTCCAGGTTTCCTCTTGTCCAGAGATCTCTCACCAAGGTACCTTGAAGATTTCAGCTGCGCACAGGTCGGGTCGGGGTGCTGGGCGTGTCTACAAAGGGGCGGTGCCTGCGCGCTGACGACTAATCCGGAGGCCGGAAGCTGCACCGGTCTGCGGAGGAAAGGGCAAGCCCGTGACTTCCGGCGGCTTTTTGAGGCGGTCCTCTCAGCGGCCCGATAGTATTTTCGTTGTCTTTTTTTACTCTGTTGTCGCTCTTCGTTGTTTTTCTTTCTGCGTCCCAGTCGCGTGATTCTGGCAAAGCGGCCGACGGGTTTCGCTCCTTGGCCGCCCCAGGGGACCCCTCGCTAGCCGAGGGCCGGTTCCCGGGGCCGCGCGCGCACCACCTCCTCCTCCCCTTTGTGGTCTTCCCGGGGCCCGGCGCGGGGACAGAGTCCCCTTCCCCGCTCCTCGGGGCAGCGGCGGCGGCAGCGGTGACGCCTCTAGACTGTGCTCACGGAAGGAGTTCGGCAAGGAGGTAAGCGTGAATTGCGCGTATTGGCGTGGGCGTCGGGGAAAGGCGTTGCACGGAAGCGGGATGGGGAGGCCGGTTGTTGTCTTCCCCGTCTGGTACACGCTGGGCTTTTGAGCTCCTGGAGCATCCCGCCCATAACACTGCAATAGCTCCCTGTGCTCAGGCCTCGGGTCTCGCTTTCGTTCTGATTCTGGCGAGTTTGTCCAAGGGGACAGGTGGATTCGAACAAAAGTGA